GGATAATTTATATATTTTGCATAAATTAATTTTTTGTTTAGGATTCAGACATGGTGGAAAAAAAAATAGGAAATGCCACTCGAATATGAAAAGGAAGCAAACCCAAACTATTAATAATCCACCATATCACCAATAAACAATTATAACCATATTGCTTCTGTCAATACTGTTTGCATTTTCTTTTCATAACAATTTCAACAAATTCGTGGGAGCCATGCATAATAAGTTCTGTCACAATATAAATTGTCGGAAAACTGTTATAAATTCGGAATCCCAACCACGAAATCTTTATTTCATTAAATATCTTTATTAAAATTCTAAATATAATTTTTGAACCCTTAAACTATATACATATTACAAGTAATCCCTAGGATGACTAGAATTACTTATTAAAAAATCCCATTTCCTTTCCCTCTCACGTCTAATACGTTCTCTTTCTTCCTTTTCCTCACGTTCTTGACGTTCTCTATTTTCGATATTCATTATATATTGAGCATGACGTGTCCCCTCCTCATCATACAAACGATTGCGTTCGGCAATATCGGATTTGGATAATCGATATCGCCTATAAAAATTCTTCTCATTTTCATGAACCATTTCCCATAATTTTGCATTAACCTTTGCGTCATTATAACTTTTGGAATAAAAGTTATCAATCAAGGCATCATACGATACACGAGTTTCCGGTCTACTGGATTCGGAGGTGGATATGCATATTCGTCCAATCGCCCGATCCCGGTCTCCATAGATCTGACGATCCCATTTGAGATCACGTTTAAATTCATCCAAACGTTTACCAATATCATCGTCACTCCATCCACATTTCATATACCCACGAATAAAATCCCATAATCGATAATGATCTAAACCCTGAGGTTCAGCTAGTGATTTTAGATATATACCATAGAATTCACGTTCAAATTTCTCCCGATCCCTCCCATCACGTTCCCGCTTCAATTTATCCTCCATGGAATTCAGGATTATATTAATTTGATCTTCATTGACGCCCTCCTGGCGCCGAGTATGAATAATTTCATCACACTTA